ATCACATCATCCTCAGAACTTTGAATTCTTATACTAATACTGCCCAACCATATCCTTCTGCATTCTGAAATGATGCTCCTGCTGAGCACAGGGATGTTCTACATGGACCATTCAGACTCCCAGCCTCACAGAATGGGCTCTTCAGGAAACAATTTTCAGAAATGACAGTGGATCGCTTGGACAGTCAGGTTGGAAAAGACCACTATTATCCTCAAGTCCAACCCCAACCTGCTGACCACATCCCTCAGTGCCACATCTCCACAGTCCTTAAACACTTTCAGGGATGGTTACCCCACCACCTCCCTGGGCAGCCTGTGCCACTACATCACTGCTCTTTCAGAGAACAAGTTATTCCTAATATCCAGTCTGAACCTCCCCTGGTGCAACTTGAGGCCATCCCCTTCCATGTTATTGAGAAGAAGCCAACCCCCGTCTTGCTCCATTCAGGCAGTTGTAGAGAATGATGAGGTCTCCCTTGAGCCTCCTCTTCTCTAGGCTGAAACATCCCAGTTCCCTCAGCTGCTCCCCATCAGGACTTCTGCTCCAGACTCTTCACAGCTCCATTACCCTTCTCTGGACAAATTTGAGCCTCAGTGTCTTTTTCGTGGTGAGGGGCCCAGAACTGAACACCGTACCAGGGTACCTTAGATCCCCCCTAAGTCAGGGAAACTTGAGAGCAGAAGCAGGCAGGAATTAAACAAGCCAGAGCTATGGTGACCTTGTGCTGCACTGAAAACAAAGTGTTTAAGATGCTCTTAAGCCAGCATCCCCATGAGATGTGAGTGAGTCCCTAGCAACCTTCCCTTGCCAGATGACTTTCCAGAAGCCCTCTTCAAGTCCTAAATGAGATGCTTGTCTCTTGCTAGCAGAACCACCCAGAGAGGAATGAGGCGACCTGACCAACATACTGCACTTTCCTGTTATCTTTGCTAAGTCTCTTGCATTTTTATATGGCACCTTAATAACCCCTAATTTCCATTACAAGTGCATGCTTTCCTTCTGCTTATCTGTATCTCTATACACTCCTTCTCCATTCCTGCAGCCACACCGCCTCCAGCTACAACCTGGGGAGCTCTCTGGTGCTCCATAGGGTCAGGTCTGCTCTGTAATGGGAGTTCAGTCCCATAACCGGGGAGGTGGCAGGACGTGATTCAGGCGATGGCTCTCCTCCATCTGCGTCAATATTGAACTTGCTGCCTGAAGTTAGGGGCAGGAGAAGTAAACCCAGTGCCCTAATTTCATGCAGTCATTAAAGAGATTGGTTGCAACTTTCTCAAGAGACAAACTCCTAACCTCAGTGCCCGGGGCCAGATTTCAGCTTTGCTCTGCCTGCCTGCATTCCCCAGGTAGTTACCATCAGATACAATGCTATTTGCTTCCTGTTGTGTGCTGTTAAGTGGTGGCTGCACTCCACCCCAGGGGTGGCTGCATTTCAAAAGCAGGGGAGTGATTACCGCATATACAGGCTGTAAAAGGCAGTGGGCTTTTTTTTTTTTCTTTCTTTTTTTTTTTTTTTTTCTGGGAAGAGAAGAGCCAAGTATAATTCTGAGCTTCTTAAGGCAAATCCTATCAATACCCTCCCGGAGCTGAAGGCTTTCAGTAAGGGCCAGCAGCGGTTCACAGTTGATGTAATGGACTGGGATTTAGGCAGAGCTGGGTACCTGCAGAAAAAGCTGTGCTCCTGTGTTCCCCTGTTCAGTTGTGCCCAAGTCCTGGAAAAGGCAGAAGTTTTGCAGCCCCTCTGCCAGCATTGCCTGATGCTCCCTGGGTTTTGGAGAGCTCTGCAGCTGCATGCAGGGAAACACCTCTGCTCTGAGCTCATGAGTCCCTCCAAAGCCCAGGTAGAATGCAGGACCTGTGGACTCCTAACCCTCCTAACACAGGGCTACCCCTCTCACACCCACTCAGAACAAGGCCCTCTGTACAAACACTGTGGTTGCAGATGCTTTCTTTTCAGTCCTAGCATGGTAAGGCCCCGGGGATCTCCAAGGCATTTGCAAACATCCTCTTCTCTCAACCTCTTCTCCCACGTAACAGCGATAAGACAAGAGGGGATGGCCTCAAGTTGTGCCAGGGAGGTTCAGGTCAGATATTTGGAAAAACTTCTCAGAAAGAGCAGTGAGGCAGCGGCACAGCTGCCCAGGGAGGTGGTGGGGTCACCATCCCTGAAGATGTTCAAGGACCGTGGAGATGTGGCACTGAGGGATGTGGTCAGTGGGCATGGTGGGATGGGTTGGGGTTGGACTTGGAGATCATAGTGGTCTTTTCCAACCTTCATGATTCTATGATTCTCTGATCATATGAAAAGATTTTAGGATTAGTTGGGCTGCAGCTGGAGGCAGCAGAGATGTTTCAGCTATTCCCTGGTCACTATATGCTCCAACTCTCTGCCAGAGGATAATGGAACTTATCCCAGCAGTTTATCTGACTGGATTCTGTGAGAAGCATTTGCCTTTCACAGACCATAGGACTGGCCATCGATCTCCTTGGAGACACCATATCAACCTCCCCATGCCAGAGGTTTAGTTTCTGGATCCCATTTGAGCTTAGGCAAGAGCAAAGTGCTGAGTCCTCAGTCCTGTTAGAACTGGATTCACCTGGTCATGCTCTGAAGCCAAGCTTTTGCACAACCAAAGAGCTGCATGGTCACCAGCTTCGGGAAGCTGGGATCCTTCAGGGTGGAGAGATGCTGAATAGGGATTTTTAAAAATCACATTGTGGAACTGAGTGTTCCTTTGGTTCTGGCTCCCAGGGACTTACTAACCTCATGATGCGCAGTAACGTTGCGTTCCAGCACATTGCTCATACCTTCTGCTTGTAAGTTCATGCACATTATTTGATTTGCCTATTGCTGTGTTTGGTAGTCTTCCCAAAGCAAAGCAGCACTACACAAGTTCTTGCTTAAGCCTTCAGTCCAGACGAGACTTCTCTGCAAGCGTGCAGGTTTGATTTCTCCCTGAGAACACACTGGTATTTTGGCTTGGCATATTAAACTCTCCTTGTGTTTGTAAAGCCTGGAAGCATCTAGAAATTAAAGATTAAGCCAAAATGCCCTGGGAAAGCTCAGATCAGCAAAATGTGGTGCACAGAACATTAGAGAGGATTTGTGGAGGTATATCATCAGGTGAAGCAAAGCTTGATGAAAGTTGGTGAAGCTGCATCAACTGGAACCTGACCTCCTGCCTTCATGGGACCGGTCATATTTCAGTACTGTCCTACTCTGATCATTCAACCATTCAAAAGGTTCTTGGTCAGCTGGTCTATAGGCAGGAGATGAGCTCATGTGGTGAAATATGCAAGGTTAAAGGAGGTGGGTTATCAGAACCATTGTCTTCCTAGGACTGCCTCAAGGGATTCAGAACAATCTTTTTAATGATAAAATGCCATTTTCCTGAAGCCAAAACGCATTGCAGAGGTGTTTTCTGAGGTGTAGTGCTGAACTCCACGGTCATTTCCAGTGAGTGAAGAAACAGAATGAAATGTAAACTGAAAATAAAGCCAATCCTTCGGTACATTCCTCTTTTCAAAGCAGTTTGAGTGGTTTTCTTTTCAGTATATTGTGGAAAAAACACTGGAAACCAGGAAAGCCAGGCCAACACTGAGCTGCCCTTCTCCTCCCATCTCTATCTATGATGAAAGGCTGTGAAGGAAGGTTTCTTACGAGGTCCTGGAAACTTTTGGCTGATCCCATCCAGCAAATGAGGCAATGGACGGAAAAGGGGAGCTCATTCCAATCCCCTTGGCCAGGAATTTAGTTAGGCAAAGTGAGCAAAGTTTTAGGTACCTGCATGATGCCATATGCTGAGCACCATCTCCAAGGTGGCTTTAGAGTGGAGGGTGGGGATAATGCTTAGTTAGATAAGGAAGCATCTGTCCATCCTGATATTTACCCACTTTCCAGCCATCAGCAGCTCTCCCAGTGAAGGAGCATTGAGTATTGGTCTCACCGTGAAATACAAAGGCTGATGTTAACTGTAGATTTGCATTTTTATGGCCCAAATTCTATTCATCAGAAGCCAACACTGAGGTTCTGTGCATGGCTAAGTGATGCACTGCCTGCAAATTAGTATGTAATATAATTCATATGCCCTAAGATATTTAGTTTTTGATTGCTTTTTGTTTTGATATAGCTCCACCCTAAGAACTTACACAGAATCACAGAATCACAGAATGGCCAGGGTTGGAAGGGACCTCAAAGATCATGAATCTCCAACCCCCCTGCCACCAACCTCCCCATTTAATACTAGCCCAGGCTGCCCAAAGCCTGATCCAACCTGGCCTTGAACACTTCCAAGGATGGACGGGGCATCCACAGCCTCTCTGGGCAGCTGTTCCAGCACCTCACCACTCTCACAGCAAACAACTTGCCCCTGACATCTTCCCTCCCTCAACTTCAAACAATTTCCCCTTGTTTTGCTGTTATCTACCCTTTCCAAGAGTTGATTCCCCTCCTGTTTGTAGGCTCCCTTTAGGTACTGAAAGGCTGCAATGAGGTCACCCCGCAGCCTTCTGTTCTCCAGGCTGAACAAGCCCAGCTCCCTCAGCATGTCTTCATAGAGGAGGTGCTCCAGTCCCCTGATCATCTTTGTGGCTCTCCTCTGGACCCTCTCCAACTGCTCTCCGTTTTAAATTAGTTAAATTGTGTTTTCTGACCTCAGTGAGCCTCCATCCAGCCTGTTTACTTAGAGAAACTGTGAATGCTCCATCCCTGGAGATGCTCAAGGCCAGGTTGGATGGGGCCCTGGGCAGCCTGACCTGGTGAGGGGCAACCCTACTCATGGCAAAGGAGTTGGAACTAGATGATATTTAAGATTTCTTCCAACCCAAGCTATTCTACGATTCTATGGTTGCCTAGTGTAAAACAATGCCTTTGCACCACAGATAAGAGGAGAGTTTCATGGCTTTCTGCCACTCCCTCTAGAGAAGATGTTCACAGCACTGATCACGGCCACACGAGGTCTTTTTGCTGGCCAATGTTCACTGATTTCTTTCTTTCACAGCTACCAGGGAATCCGCCTTCGTCCATGCCATTGCCTCTGCCGGAGTGGCTTTTGCAGTGACCAGGTCCTGCGCCGAAGGCTCGGCCACCATCTGCGGTTGTGACACTCGTCATAAGGGCTCACCAGGGGAAGGCTGGAAATGGGGAGGCTGCAGTGAGGACGTGGAGTTTGGGAGCATGGTGTCTCGGGAATTCGCTGATGCCCGAGAGAACAGACCAGATGCTCGGTCAGCCATGAACAGGCACAACAATGAAGCTGGAAGGACCGTAAGGACATTTGTTTTTACCTTTCTTGATCTCCTATATTGATTTCTTACCTCCAGAGGGAACTAAGAGGAGTAAATAAACATAAATCTGGGCTGCTTTACATCATGAAGTGGTGATACATGTCCCAAAATGGTTCTTTGCTGGGAGGTGACCAGTGGATCCCTGTGCCTGGTTTTAAAGTAAATTCACCCACTCAGATGTAAGTGTCTAACTTGGAGTTAATTGTCCATATCACTCCGTAGTAAGTGGATCAAAACAGGCAGCACTATGGTGGAATATGAAGTTTTGGATCTTGAAATAGCTCAGTTTGGTGATGCCCTATTTGTACCTGGGTGTAGGAAGGAGAGCTGTATGGCCAGAGATGTCTGTGCTGTAGACATCTGAAGTTAAGAGAGATGGACCAAAGTTTATGGGCAGGATTCAGCTGGTTAAGCAAAGGCAATTTAGTTTAACCCAAGAAAGATATTCTGAAGCATCCAGTCTGTCCCTGGACTTCTAATGGGGTTCTTCTAGAGGTCTTCTGGAGGTCCTCTTCCATCTCTTATCTGATGCCTTGGACACTCATAGAGCTCAGAAGTGATGTTATATCCTTGTGTTTTGGCAGCTGAATCCTAATCTGAGTGCAGCAGTCACACAGAATACGTGCATCCAGGCCTAGCTATAAAAGAACTCAGCTGCCTAAAGTGAGATTTAGGTAGCCAGATGTACAACTGCAGGCCCCTTCTTTTATACTACAGACCTATAAAATCTATCGATATCTCAGCTTGTGCCTCAGAAGTCCCCAGCATTTGTACCACTCTGGGCATGTCTAGAAGGGTCCATCCTGGAGGAGAAAGCTGAATTGATGGTGTCTGTGGAGTGTGATACTGCAGGAGTTCTTGAAGGGAGCCCAATGGCTTGGAGCCCTTTCCCCTGCTATCCCTGTCCTGCCCTGTAGACTTGAGGGTGGGGAAAAAGCAGGAGAGCATTTCCCACCACTCCTCTTCTCAACGGTGTTCTATTTCCCAGGGAGTATTTAAAAAAAAAAAAAAAGAGAGAGAGAATGTGACTCTGGTGCCTTCAGATTTAACATGGACCATGCCTCAAAGCCAGCTAGTGAGTTTTCACTTCTGCCACTGAAAAAAATATACAAAGGAACTGAAAGTATAAAGTTTTGCCCTCATCACAATGGCTGACACATAAACAGTTTTTTTGTAAGGTGGAAAAGTCCCTATCACAGGACATTCTCTTTTTATCTCAAGAATAGTCCATAAATGCCCAAAGAACATAATCGATAGGAAACAATTTGTGAAATTAAATTGCAAAGCTTTTGCTAATGTAGACTATTCCACCACTCCTAGGAGAACTGCTTTTCTTTCTCACGTAGTAAACTTGAATTAGTTCATCCCTCAGTGGAAGAAAGATACATCACCGCAATCAAAAGAGGTTAATGTGGTCTTTTTCCTTCAGGATAAGCCCTCACAAGTGCCTAGGAGGATGCATGGCTGTGCAGAGCCATAGCAAAGCCAGCACAGTTGTGCAATGCTAGGAAGCCTCTCTTTTGCTAGGATTTTGTGTGAGCTCTTCAGGTGGATGCTGTCTAACCTCTGTGGAGTTATTCCACCTCACGCCATAAGACAGCTGGTCTGAAACATGGAGTACAATCTATCAAGATAAAGAAATACCACCTGAAACAGAACTTGTCTGCAAGACAAATACAAGGAGTAATGTGGTTTCCTCAAGCCCTGACCCAAATTATCCCAGGTAACCCAAGGCATTGTGCATTCCTGGGATAGGTGATGAGATACAGAGGACTGTGGGGAAGCCAGGTAGGCTGAAAAGGAGGGATTTACTTTAAAGTGAGAATCTCAAAAAAAGATGTGCTGTGATCTCAGGTCTGGAGAGGTCTTATGTCTGTCAGTTTGGGCACTGAGTTATCTCTGGATCTTCTACAGATTTGAAATCCTCTGTTTTATAAAATGGTGTTTGTCATTCTCACCATGCCAGCACCCATGGGTAGCTCTTCCAACCCTCCATGCTCAAGTGGTTTGAGCTAAGCTTGAGCCCATAGGCAGTGTTTCATATTAGTTCCCATATGAGTTCAAACCCTACCACCAGGCCAGCAGCTTTGATTAAGTTCAGCATGATTACATGAACCAAACATTTTGTGGTTCTCTCTCATTGCTAATTACAACCTCTTTTGTGGCATGTGATACTCTGTAAATAACACAGGAAAGCACCTGGTGGACATCAAGGTGCTGAATCATGGCAAATCTCTTAGGCTCAGGCTGCCACTCGTCTGTTCACGTACCCAGAAATTTGCTGATCAGTCTGAAAGTGCAGATTATCAAGTGAGTTGCATAAGGCTGAGAATACCTGAGGGCAGCATCAATAGAAGCCTCTGGACTAATTTTATGAGTGTTGAGGGCAACCAATGATCAATAATCTTCCTCCCATATATTCTAGGACGGTGCTTTATGTTGAAATGTGAGCTTTTCAAATTCAGAAGTTGAGCTCCTATTTTTTTTTTCTTCTAAATGGTCTTAAGAAAATCATATTTGATTTGAAAATAAATAATATTTGAAAATATATAATGCATTAGTTTTCAGGCTTCTGAACACAGCCACCAGTAAGGCTAGAAACTTGTTTGATGAAGCAAACATGAAAACATATGTAATAAATGGAGTTATGGTCTGGATGGCTAGGACATTTCTCATTCCTTTAATTTCCAAATGAAATAGCTGTATATTTCACTCCTGAATGCATTATTTTAGTAGGTTTCTCCATTCTTTGTTTTTCTGCATGGATATGTCCAAATTGTGTTCTTGGGTGACAACACTGAAATATTCATACATGAACATAGGTAGGAAAATTTTAATGTATACGAAATCACTTCAACCCGTACGGAAAGCAATCGATAGATGTTTAAAATTGGGGTGAGAATCTGAGATAGCTTCTGAAAATAACAACTTGTGAATGTTTTGTTTGCCTCAGTACCTTAGCAGCGCAGTGACCGAGGGAAAAAGATGATTCTTGTTCACAAGGTGCAAATGTATCTATGGAAACACTTACACCTTTAGATATGTAGGATTCTATGATTCTAAATCCTGGCTGAATTGGAAAATGCAGTATGTGTTTCGATGGCAGGCTAATGTCTTCCCTCTTCTTTGCTTTTTCTCGTCTTCTCTTTTCCAGTCTATTATTGAACTCATGCATCTGAAGTGCAAATGTCACGGCCTCTCGGGCAGCTGTGAAGTGAAGACCTGCTGGTGGTCTCAGCCTGACTTCAGGGTCATCGGGGACTACCTGAAGGACAAATATGACAGCGCTTCGGAAATGGTGGTGGAAAAACATCGGGAATCCCGTGGTTGGGTCGAGACCCTCCGGCCCAAATACAACTTCTTCAAGGCTCCGACTGAGAAGGACCTGGTTTACTATGAGAACTCACCCAACTTTTGTGAGCCCAACCCTGAGACGGGTTCCTTCGGGACTCGTGACAGGATCTGTAACGTCACTTCCCATGGGATTGACGGTTGTGACCTTTTGTGCTGCGGCCGCGGGCACAACACGAGGACTGAGAAACGGAAAGAGAAGTGCCACTGTATCTTCCACTGGTGCTGCTACGTCCGCTGCCAGGAATGCATACGAGTTTACGATGTCCACACGTGCAAATAAAGCAGGCAAGCCCCTTTGCAGGGCTCCAGGAGGAGAAACAGATTCGAGCCTACTTCCTTTGAGGTTGGAGACAAGAGAGAAGTCTACTTTTTTGATAATAAAAGAATAAAATTAAAAAAAAAAAAAATTAAAGGCTAAAAAACTGGTCGGATAGAATAGGTCTAATGACTTCTGGGCTATCCTGAGGTACATCTGGTGGTCACACAAGTTACGCCGCAATGATGCATCCCATAGGAGACAGCGGCTTTTTAGCTGGCCGACAACGCAGAGCTGGAAAGAAGAGCATCAGCAAAAGCATGGATTGGCTCTGCTCTTGCCCACCCAAAGTGATTTGTGTGATTAAGTGTCCTTTGAAAGACTTGCATCTTCCTAGATATCTCCTTTTCCCTCAGCCAGAGAAAGGCTGTGTTGGACACCAGCACTAAGCTTTCTGAGATCTATCTACATACTCAAACGGCCAGACTCTGTGCATAAGAGCAACAACAACAACAGCAAAAGAAATAAAAGCAGATAAGTTAATGATTTAAAAAAAAAAAAAAAAAAAAAAAGGAATGAAATTCTCCTTTACTTTTGCCCTGGAACCAGAGAAGTCTAGAAATATATGACAGAGTAGAGTGGGCAGGCTCTTCGCGTGAACTTTTTAGCATAGTAGCTTCTGCCAAATTTGACATAGGATGCAGTGGCACCTACATAGAGGGAGGGAGGGAGAAGGCGAAGGAAAGGGAGAGAGAACTGCCAGTGGTTTCCTGCAGATGCCTTGTTGGTGCACAGGCGACGTGCATGGTACAGAGAAATTCAGTACCTGATATGTGAAGGGAAGAGGACTCCGTGTGTGCATTGAGAAGGAGATGGTCCCGCGATGGGGCATGTCGCTCCACCTGTGTCCCAGCATGAGGCTCAGCCAGTGAGTTTTCACTGAGGACATGGTGCAGGGCAATTCTCCTTGGGATGAACTCTTGCTGCTGGGAAGAGGACATCTGGCTCCTCAGCATCCTGGCTCACTCCAGAAGAGGAGGAAAGGGAAAATGTTTATGTCTCCCACGCCATCACCAAGAGTGGAAAGTGCACTTAGTCCATCCACTCTCTGCACCTCATGCAGGCTTCCCCTGGGCACTTAGCAAAACCCTTAGACCACAAATGTGTCAGGAATTTGACTCTGAATGACGATTTGTCACCTGTGCATTTACATGACAGTGACCCAAACTTCACCCCCAAAGCTGGAGCAGTTTCAGCCTCCAGCCAAATTTGGTTCCTCACCTACTTTCTACAGCCATTCCCATCTCTAAAAGTGGCACAGATTAAGATGTGTGGAATCCAGACTCCAAATCAGCTCAGAGTTTGGACACAGAGCCAAATCTCTACTGTGCAGTGTTGCCCCATCTCTGCTGTACACTTCCAACTCCCCTTCTATACATGTTACTCTACTTTTAATTTCATTTTGCCAGGTACAGAAAGAGCTCTCACTTCTGATACAAGCATCAAGGCTTCCTTAAACCATGTGGATATTGGGCCAAACTCTCAGCCCATTGCCTTGGTTTTTACAACACCAGAGTTATTCCTGTTCATTATTGGCATAAACGAGTACTGAATCAAACGTGGAGTTGTAGTCTGTTTAACTTCTAATGTGCTTGCCCAATGTCCTCTTTGTCTTACTCATGCCTTGAGTTCCTATCTTTGGAAAAAGACCAAGGATTGACATTTTTTCTTTCCTATCAATCCAGGGAGTGAAGTGGGTTATGATTCATATCCCAGTGAATCACAGGAGTCTTTTAATGGACAGCAAAGCAATGTAATTAAGACTGTTGGCTAGCTCAGCCCTGGAAGTCTATGTAGAGAAATCAGAGTGCTCTTCTCTCCCAGAATGTCAGAGAGAGAGAGAGAATATGCAGAAGAGATAGGGAATGAACAGAGCTTAATCAGAAAGAAAACAGGAAGAAATGAGGCCTCCAAGGGTTGGCTCTGAGTCAAGGCATCTCCTGAGACTATCCTAGGCTGGTGCAGTTTGTGCATCACTGTATGTCTCAGGGCTGTGCCCAAGGACACAAGCAAGTTCTGTGTACTGGTGGAAGCACTTCTATTGGTGCACTGCAAAATAGCTGCAATGAAATGAGAGGAGTTATACAGGAGGGAGGGAAGGAAGGAAAGATCAAGAGAGAGAAGGAAAGAAATGGAAAGGGAAACAACTGATCTGTACGTGTGAACACTGCATACAATGGATGGACACACATCATCTGGTAGAAAGCAACAGGTGACGAAAAATTGAGAAAAAGAGGAACCAATGAATGGATAGATGGCTGATTTTTATAGAACAGTCAAGTGGAAAAGGAAAATCCAACCATTATAGCAAATAGAAAAGAAGGCCATTGCAGGGGGACATTGCCACAGTAACAAATATTCAGACAAAAACTGTCAGGAAAGAAAACTCTAGGAAGGCATTGATGAATTGTAAAGATGGGATAAGGGAAGATAAGTCTGATTTATTTAATATAATGCAGTGCTAGCAGTCAGCAAGAGATGTTGGACATCTCCTGCCAGAGACTTCTATCCAAACAGTAAGAATGCAAATTGCTGCAGATGATGTTCTGTGTCAAACCATTGACTTCAGCAGGATCACACCCACAACTAAATTTACCCTAATATCTTTAAGCAAGGTGCTTTCACATTCCTTCTTGTACACCATGCCAGGGAAGGAATGGCTCAAAGGATCTAGCTTCTTTGCATGGGAGTTGGATTCTGACCCCCTGCCATCCACAGCATGCTAACATTCACAGTTTCTGCATTTGCACCAGAACCAAGCCCAACATCACTAGTGGGTGGAGCTCTTTGGGAAGCGTGGGGAAAAAAATAGACATCTGCTGAGCAGTTGCCTCTTATGGTGAAGAAACAGCTTTGACTGCAGTAGTGGGGTCTATTTCCCCTCTCTGTGTCAATGTCAAGCATCTACTCTAAACTGTTTGTCTAATTTTCTACTAGGATCAATGGCAAGACACAAACAAGTGCAGAAGGTGATTCATCATAGGCTAGGATGGTATCTAAGCTGGGTTTGGTAAATTGCCCTCTGGATGTACCTCTGTCTTTCCACTGACCTGAGCTGATGAGCTCATACAAGATGATGAACTTTCAGACTGAGTACAGTCTGATGATGTGAAGTCCACCATGAGTCAAAGAGGTGAAGCTACAATCTGATCATCAGTTGAGATGGGCTGGAAATCCTACTCCTTCTTTTAAATCTGGGGTCAGGCTCAGTGCTTGGGGACTTCCAGCCCATTCAAAGTATTTTTAACAAAGCCTATGCATATTTAATAGGTTTTATTATGTAATTAGTCATCTACTAATAGTAGTAAGGGGTTGTATAGTGTAAGGGATTGAGCAGCTGCTATTGAAGTCAATGACATATGCCTCTGTGTATTCTGCTCATGACCTCATGTCCATCTGAGGGTTCTAGTCCAAAGTCTGACTCTACCCACGTGGAGGGGAAAGGGAGCACCTTCTAAGGGTCTAGGAGTAAGGGACTGATGAGTATACGTGCTAAGCCTGCATCTGGCCCCATGGCTTTGGAGAAATCACTCTGGACCTCGATAGTTTATGCACATCAATTCAGGAAATGTGTTTGAAAAACTAAGGTCCCACTCTGCTATCTTCTCATGGTGTCTCATATCAGGGTTCCACTGCAATGAGCAGTGAGGTGCCATCCCTCCCTATCTGTCATCTCAGATACATGGGGCCTCATTTAGAGAACTTTCTAAATGCAACCCAAAGCCTTCTTCTGCCTCAGGTTCTTTCAGAATGATAGGGTCTTTCTCGCAGAGGAGATTTTGGATTTTGTTCAATGATACAAGCATCTAGCCACATTTTTGGCCCTGAAATGTTCTACTGGAATGCAGCTGTTGCTCCAATGGGATGGGAATCCCACAGGTCCTGTGTCACATGTGCTAAATGTAGTCAGTTGTGTCAGACCATGGGGTACCCAAAAGGACTCACGTCTCATGATATCTATGTATAGATGCTTGAATTGCTCACTTGTCTGGTGATGGTTTTATGGAAACTTCCTTCCCCCTCAGCTTGTGCTCGTGTGTACTCAAAAGGAAAAGATCACTCATCCCCAACTCAGCCTCCATGGTCCATGGTGCCCTTCCCTTCAGCCTTCACTTGTGGTGAGGTTTCTAGTAAAGATATCATCCAGAAAAGTAACACAGAAGTAAAAAATAAAAATAAAGCTATATAATTTAATTCCTCTTACATGCTGCTATCCAACCTTTCCTTTTGCTGAGCAGATGGGCTTGATGGCCACCATCAGTTCTGCATCCAAGCTTGTTCAAGTCAGCAGAGTTACATGCAAGGGGTGAGTTTGGTTTCATCTCTTTTCTTTCTATGAAAGAAATTGAAAGTGTAGGAGCTTTTTATTGTCTCAGTTTAGTTCTAGAATTTGGAGATTTCTCTTTCTCAGAGAAAAAAAAAGCAAACATGAGGAGGAGAAAGCACAACGTTTTCTATTACTGGTCTCCTATGTATCTCTTTTAGCTGAGTGCCACGCTCAGCACTTCTCCAAAATATTTCAGAAGGCTCCAAAATTATCTTCACTCCTTACAAGGAGCTTCAGGTGCACGATGAAAGCGGTCAGAATTTAATCTTGAGACTACAGGGACTGCCACACCACAAAATGCCATTTGAGGCCGAAATCTCTGAGTTAGCACCAGGCACATCAACCCTGTTAACCTCATAGTACAATTTCATCTGATATTCAATCTAAAATACATTTGGATTTTCTGTGCATTTAGCTCTATTGCCACAAGAATGTCCATGGATTGTAACGCGTTCATCGTGTGCGTTCATGTTTGCCATTTGCCCGGCCTTAAATTCAAATATTGGAAAAACGCTTCCTTGTCTTGTGGGCTCTGGGTCACATTTTAGATTCAAGGAAAGGCTTCAGTGCAGAAAATATGTGGGTATTCAGAGCTTGAGTACTATGCAGGAGCTGGGAGTCATGAATTCAGCCCTGCGTTCTGTGCTATGAAAATTAGTTCAGGCTTCCCTCTATGCCT